TATTTGTCTCACTATCTCCTCAAAACTTTGGACTGTCTGGAACTTAATCAGTCAGCTGATACAAGTAGCAGTGGCCAGATCCTAAGAAACAAGATGTAAAATGCCATTTTAAAACTCAAATTGTTTGTTTGGGGGGGGGGGGGGGCAAGACTGGTGAGGAGCATATATTGAAAGTCCACTAGTGGTTTGCAGTGCAAGAGGCCTACCTCTACTGTGTGGTCAGTTGTTGTAGGCTAAGATTTAGCATCTTCTGACTTAAACCCAAGATAAATGGTTTATCACAACCAGAGTCCAAACACAACCACAAAATAAGAAAAATAAGATGAGCCTCTGCAGGTAACATGTAAGAGCCTGGCTACACTAGCCAAGCACATTGGTGAAAGGACAAAGAGTGAACTTCTGAGTACAACATTTGTCCTATCAATTTTAGAAAAGTGCTTGTGTTCCGTTCCGTTCCGTTCCTCTGCGATAGTACTAGGGTATTGAGAAACTCCCACAGTTCTTGGCACAACTCTCCAGAAGAGGTGCTTTTTGAAAATCAGCAAATTATAACTGGCTGCCCACCAAAGATGTGCAATCAATCACCTATTATTATAAGCTGGTAGGCAATTGAAGCGGTCACAATATCAAGCCATTATGCCACCAACAACCCAGCCTCAAGTTTAATTGAAAAACTCAATGGTTTCTCCAAAGCATTGTTTCCACTTGTTTGTTCTGTGGAACCAGCTATATATCTTGAGGTGCTATACCCACACACAGCTGTGGGGACAGGAGTGGAGGGTGGGAGGAGTACTTTTCTCACCCAATTGATTTTAGGCAATTCTGAAGCTGTGTTTAGGTTAGATACCTGAAACAGAAGCTGGTCAAAGGTTCTAAATAAAGAGTCTTAAAATTAGGACAGGAAAAGGAGGAAGTGGGGGGCAGGTAGAGATAGCAGGATGGATTTAGTGAAAACCCTGTGCAGCTAAGCCAAGTAATAGTTTTGTTAATATACCCCCATATATTTGGAACACCTATGCCCCAAACATCCATTATGAATGAATCTGGAAGGGAAACAGTGTTTCCCCATTTTAAAAAAAGCCATTTTAACAATGACCCTGACAACAAAACTGGGATACATACCAACAGTTTATTAGCAGGCAACCTGTTGTAGATTAGGGTTGTCTCATCCTTCCTCTTCCCGAACTCTGGATAGAATTTACACAACCCAAAGACATTCACAGAGCAACCAGCAAAATATTAGGACTACATTTTTATTTCTCTCTGCCAAAAAGAACAGATAAAAGCTGATATTTGAGATAAATTTGAGCAACCTTTTATTTTCAAGTCCATTTGTGAATGCATTTCAGTCAGCATTTATACTGTATATTTATATTTGTTTTATAATCTATTAATTTCATTTACCTAAATTGGATTTGTAGAAAAATGGTTTGTCAGTTTTGATGACTGAATGCATGGGAGCTACTTTCTAAATGCACTGAGCTGTGGCTAACAAGCCAGCACCAATGTTTATACTTTAACAATGGTGCCATTTCTCACTTCAATTAGTAAATGCTCTTTCCCTGGGAAAATGCTGCCTTATATTTTAGCTGGTAGATAAAGAACAATTTCCTTCAAAGCTGTTTGCAGTAAGATGACTAATTGATTCTTATACAAGGGTAAAGGAGAACAGTAATGCTTACTAAAAATAACTATAACAAGCCTTAAAAGCCAGTTACTGAGAACATGTATATTCTTTAAAATGATAGACATTTTAGAACCTAACTGCAATGCCTCAAGAGTTCACCTGCTTTGCTGAGGAAAGCTTCTTATAGCCCTTTAAGGGTCGGAAGTGAAAATTATTTAATTAGATGGAGTCCCAGGCCCTGGGTTAACTGACAAGTGAATGATCCATGAGAGGCAGTTTAGTGACAGTTGTGAATGAGGTGTGAAGAGACAAAATACAGGGTAAGATAGATGCCCTATTTTTATCCTGATTTTTGGTTTTTAACTGATAATCAATAAAACACCACAAACACCAAAAAACCCAAAACAATAAATCAGAAATTGGTGTTTAACCAATAAACACAAAAACACTGAAAATATTTACTTGTGTCTAACTGCTTGTCTACACGGAGCCACAATGCCAACTATGGGGGTGCAATTTCTAACGTGCACTAACATATTGTGCATTAATTTGTTTGTGTAAACTCTCCTGGTGTGCACTAAATGTTCCCTAGTGCGCTTTAATGTGGTGCTGTTTGAAACATTACATTGGGAACATTACAAATATTGCTCCATTACAGCGGTGTATACCATAATGAGTAATGTATAATATACTATACATTACTCATTACACTACAAAGAGAAAGCCAAAAAACCCCTGATTTTTGACATTACATAAAATGTAAAAATTGCTAAAAATAACCCCTCAAAAATGAAATACACATCAAGAAAATAGAAGCCCAAGATAAAAAGGATCTGCTCAGAACACAGAGGGACCAGTGTAAACAATGGACTTTATTCAAAAAAGTTCAAAATTTATATACTGAAAAAACACCCCAAAGTAAGTTAATTAAGGAAAAAAATTCAGTTATGTAAGGAAAAAAATAGAGCTAGATTCTAGTTAGATAAGCAGTCAGGAAGATTTATAGGGTAGTTTTAATTAAAATGGATATCCATGTTTTTCTGTTGTATAATTTATTAAGTTAAATTTAGTAGGCAACCTTTCTGCAAACTGCACCTTTACTATTAATGTTGCTGAGGAGCCCCAATAAGCACAGAGTTAACTTTAATTTTATCTGTGTGGATAGACATTTTGGTTAGAGGATAAAATACATACTTATTCTAGTTTGAACTGAAGTAATTATGCTGCAAAGAAAACTTACTCAAGAGCCAAACAGGAAGTGTTAAGCAATGAAATTTTCTGAAGCTTGTTCTAAAAAAATATTTTAAAATAAATACATTTGCAAAAATACTACGCCAGACTGACATTCAGGCACAAAGGAACAAATGCAGTGAAGAATATTAATGAGTACTATTCAGTGTTTAGTACACAGTGTTACAAGCATGTGCACCACCAGTAAACACTGGTATTGTATTTTTAACATCTTATAAAAGAATGGTAAGTACACTAGAGAAAAGCAAACCACTAAAAGAACTGTAGGAAATAAGCAGGTAAAAATAGCTAGTATGGCTCAACACACAATAGCATAATAGAGAGATGGTACTTCACAATTAGTTCATTTTAGTGTGTCCTCCCATTTGTCTTTGGGTATGTCTACACTATGAAATTAGGTCAATTTTGTAGAAGTCAATTTTTAGAAATCGATTTTATACAGTTGATTGTGTATGTCCCCACTAAGGGCATTAAGTCGGTGGAGTATGTCCTCAATACTGTGGCTGGCATCGACTTATGGAGCGGTGCACTGTGGGTAGCAATCCCACAGTTCCCGCAGTCTCTGCTGCCCATTGGAATTCTGGGTAAAGCTCCCAATGCCTGATGGGGCAAAACATTGTTGAGGGTGATTTTGGGTACATGTAGTCAGTTGCCCCTCCCTCCCTCCATGAAAGCAACGGCAGACAATTGTTTCATGCCTTTTTTCCTGGGTTACCCGTGCAGACGTCATACCATGGCAAGCATGGAGCACGCTCAGCTCACCGCTGTTGTTGTGAGCATTGTAAACACCTCACACTTTATCCTGGAGTATGTGCAAAACTGGGCTAAGAGGACGATTGTGATGAGGACACGGACACAGATGTTCCTTAAGCACGGGCTGTGGCAATTGGGAGATTGTGTCAGCAGTGGGGCTGGTTGATACAGTGGAACGCTAATTCTGGGCCCAGCAAACAAGCACAGACTGGTGGGACCACATAGTGTTGCAGGTATGGGATGATTCACAGTGGCTGCAAAACTTTTGTATGCTTTCCTCGAACTTTGTGAGTTGCTTTCCCCTTCCCCTTCCCTGAAGTACAGGAATACTAAGATGAGAGCTGCGCTGATAGTTGAGAAGCGAGTGGCAATAGCCCTGTGGTAGCTTGCAACGCCTGACGGCTACCAGTCAGTCGGGAATCAATTTGGAGTGGGCAAGTCTACTGTGCGGACTGCTGTGATCCAAGTAGCCAATGCAATCACTGACATTCTGCTATCAAGGGTAGTGACTCTGGGAAATGTGCAGGTCATACTGGATGGCTTTGGTGCAATGGGGTTCCCTAACTGTGGTGGGGCGACAGATGGAACATATATCCCTATCTTGGCACCGGACCACCTTGCCAACCAGTGCGTAAACTGCATGGGATACTTCTCTTTGGTGCTGCACGAACTGGTGGATCACAAGGGATGTTTCACCGACATCAACGTGGGATGGCCGGGAAAGGTGCTTGACGCTCACATCTTTAGGAACTCCAAACTGTTCGAGCAGTTGCAAGAAGGGACTTACTTCCCAGACCAGAAAATTACCGTTGGAGATGTTGAAATGCCTACAATTATCCTTGGGGACCCAGCCTACCCCTTGCTCCCATGGCTCATGAAGCCGTACACAGGCAGCCTGGACAACAGTAAGGAGCAGTTCAACTATAGGCTGAGCAAGTGCAGAAAGTGGTAGAATGTGCCTTTGGACGTTTAAAAGCTTGCTGGCACTCTTTGCTGACTAGGTTAGACCTCAGCTCAACCAACATTCCCATTGTTATTGCTGCTTGCTGTGTGCTCCATAATATCTGTGAGAGTAAGGGGGAAATGTTTATGGCGGGGTGGGAGGTTGAGGCAAATTGCCTGGAGGCCGATTTTGAGCAGCCAGACACCAGGGCGATTAGAAGAGCACAGCTAGGCACGCTGCACATCAGAGAGGCTTTAAAAACCAGTTTCATGACTGGCCAGGCTACAGTGTGAGAGTTGTGTGTGTTTCTGCTTGCTGCAAACCCGCCCCTCTTGTTGATTTTAATTCCCTGTAAGCCAACCACCCGCCCCACTTCGATCACAGCTGGCAAAGGAAATAAAGTAACTATTGTTTTGAAACCATGCATTCTTTCTTTATTAATTAAAAAAAGTGAGATAACTGACAAGGTAGCCTGGGTGGGGTGGAGTGAGGGAGGAGGGAAGGACAAGGCCACATTGCTTATTGTAGCCACACTACAAATCAAAACTGTTTGAATGACAGCCTTCTGTTGATTGGGCCATCTTCTGGAGTGGAGTGGCTGGGTGCCCAGAGCCTCCCCCTGCACCGTGTTCTTGGGCGTCTGGGTGAGGAGGATATGGAACTTGGGGAGGAGCGCAGGCAGTTATACAATGGATGCAGCAGGGGTTTGTGCTCTTGTTGGCTTTCCTGCAGCTCCAATAGATGCTTCATCATGTCCCTTTGCTCCCCCTTTAGCCTCAGCATCACCTCCTGCCTCTGCTCTTCATGGTCACTTAATGCTTTCCTGGCCTCTGCCACTGAATGCCCCCGTCAGTGCAGGAGGACTGCACGAGCTCAGAAAATGTGTCATTGCGAGTGCGTTTTTTTCGCCTTCTAATCTGCGATAACCTCAGGGATGGAGATGACAGGGGGAGCATAGAAACATTAGCTCCTGGAGTGGGGGGGGGGGGGAGATAAAAAGGGAGAGTAAAATTTAAGAAGATACATTTCTGAGAACCAAAGGGAGACTCTTTCACAGTGAATCAAGCAATTCACAGCAGACAGTACATGTGCTTTAGGTACAAGGTCACATTTTGCCTTTTATAATGAGCGCCTGCCGGCATGGTGACATATCACAAACGGCTGGTCAACAGAATTCAGTTTCCAGGCAGCCATGGTAAGCCTTTTGGTACGCGGGTTTGGCTTCTTACGCCTTCAACACATGTGGGAATGGTTTCAAACTGCAGCACCATCCTTTCCCATAGCAAGCAATGCCGGTTGGGTTTCACGTTTAAAAAGAGGGGATGCGGCACACACCACTCCCCACCCCACCGCGTGGCTATTCTCTGGGATGATCCCTTCACCCCTCCCCCCGCCGCATAGCTATTCTCCGGGATGATCCCTTTTTGCCAAGGGCAAATAACCCAGCATGAACGGGGTCTTTTTACTGTTCCCTTACAAAAATCCCCCTATTTCAACCAGGTGACCATGAATGATATCACTCTCCTGAGGCTAACACAGAAAGATAAAAGACTGAATGTTGCTTGAATGCTACCAAAACCCAGGACCATTCGCTGCCATGCTTTGTGCTGCAATGATTCCAGACTACTTGTTACTGGCTTGGCATGGTAAAGTACTGTGGAGGACACAATAAGGAAGCCCTCCCCAGAAATCTTCTGCAAAGGCTTTCAGAGTACCTCCAGGACAGCTTCATGGAGATGTCCCTGGAGGATTCCTGCTCCATCTCCAGACACTTTTCCAGTAGCTGTACTGGCCACGAATGCATCCCAATTCTTCAGGGCAAATCAAACATTAAACACTATTGCTTTTAAACCCTGTACTGTAGTTACAAACGTGCACTCACCAGAGCTGCCTTCTCCAGCTTCAAGGTCGGAGATCCCGCCTTGGGAGGGTATTGGCTCCAGGGTGATGAAAAGGTCCTGGCTGCCAGGAAGAACAGATTTACCACTTGTCTGCTGAGCATCCCCCTCCCTGTTGTGTGAGACTCCACCCTTTCAGGTGTCCATGGACAGTGGTAGCATAGTGGTGTGGTCCCCCCCAGAATGCCATGCAGCTGATCATAGAAGCTGCATGTATGGGACTCTGACCCGGAGTGACTGTTTGCCTTCTTTGTCTTTTGGTAGGCTTGCCTGAGCTCCTTGACTTTCACGCAGCACTGCTGTGTCCCCCTGTTTAGCCTCTCTCCACCATGCCCTGTGCGATTTTGGCATATATATTAGCATTTCTTCGTTTTGATCGGAGTTCAGCCTGCACAGATTCTTCTCCCCATACAGCAATCAGATGCAGTGTCTCCCTTTCAGTCCATGCTGGAGCTCGTTTGCGATTCTGGGGGGACTGCATGGTCACCTGTGCTGCTGAGCTCACCATGCTGACCAAACAGGAAATGAAATTCAAAATTTCCTGGGGCTTTTCCTGTGTACCTGGCTAGTGCATCAGAGTTGAAAGTGCTGTCCAGAGCGGTCATATTGGAGCACTCTGCGATAGCTCCCAGAGGCCAATACCATAGAATTGCATCTGCACTACCCCAAATTTGACCCAGCAAGGGCTATATTAGCGCTACTCCCCTCGCTGGATTTTAAGAGCCCTTTAGGTCGACAGAAAGGGGTTGGTTGTGTAGATGCATTCATTTTAAAATCGATCTAAGGCGACTAAATTCAACCTAACCCCATAGTGTAGACCAGGGCTTTGTGTTGAAGAGCTTCTGAACTATTAGCTATTGTACTACAGGATAAAAATGATGTATTTGGGGGAAAAAAAGTTGAGCTGTTTCGTTAGCCTTACATGAATAAGGTTAAGAATTTTAAAGTTAGTGCATTCTTTCTCGTTAATGCCATTTGCTTCTCTCTCATTTCATTCAGGTTGGGCAATAAAATTAGACTAGTCAGATTCATTTTCAGTTACAGTCAACATCTAGTCAATTTCACTTCCTGGTTCTCATATACTAAGTAGGGTTGCAGCCTTAGGGATGCAAACACAGCAGAATTTTAAATTGAAGCTATTTTTTTCCTTTGGAATTTTAAGAGTCATGGAAACATTTCTGTTGATCTTAGGTTTTGTAAAACAAGTCTGGGGCCTAAATGTACATGGCAATGCTGCCCCTGAGAAAGCTGTATTTTGAGTAATAGCATCACTAGTAAAAGTTAAGACTGTTTTATTAGCATCTGTGTTATAGAGTTTGGATTAATTTACAAGAGCACAGTTACACAAGCATACAGTATCTATTATCATGGCAATGAATGTGTGACAAAATATGAATACAGTAACTCCCATACCAGAGCAGACTAGTGATCCACCTAGTCTAGTACTGATCTTTGACAGTGGCAGGGCCAAGATTCTTTAGTCATTAAGGTACTTCTTGATTGTTTGCTGTTAATTTAGCATTCAGAAATATGTGACTTTTTAAAAATTGTTTCTTCCACTGTGCATTATCTTGCATTTATCAACAGTGAATTGTGTGTGTCACCATACTGTTCATTCACCGTTGTTAGGTCTTTGTCAATTTCTCCAAGTCAACTCAAACTCAGACTAACCTCCAGAACTGAGTCATCTACATTTTGTCACCTCACAGTTCACCATATTTCTCAGATATTTCTAACAAATACTAAACATCATGCCTACTATGGAACCTACAGTACTCCATTCTTCATCTTTTGCCATGTTGAAAACTGTCCATTTTTTCTTACCCTGTCTTTTAGCCAGAAGTTTCTAATCTGTGATAAAACTTCACGTTTCACCCAGTGATCTAGTTTCCTCAAAAATGTTAATAGCCTCTTTCAGGGGATAGCTGACCCTTAGTTCCTCTTTTACTGCCTTTGCTCACTAACACCTGATTTCAAGATTCTAGTTACTTCTTAGAGAGTTGACAAGTTGGCCCCAGGCACAAGCAGAAAGAGTGACCACGCGGGGACCACTGTTCTTGTACTAAGAAAAGGAGTACTTGTGGCACCTTAGAGACTAACCAATTTGTTTGAGCATAAGCTTTCGTGAGCTACAGCTCACTTCATCGGATGCATACTGTGGAAACTGCAGAAGACATTATATACACAGAGACCATGAAACAATACCTCCTCCCACCCCACTCTCCTGCTGGTAATAACTTATCTAAAGCGATCACTCTCCTTACTATATGTATGATAATCAAAATGGGCCATTTCCAGCACAAATCCAGGTTTTCTCACCCTCCGCTCCCCCCCCCCCCCAAACTCACTCTCCTGCTGGTTATAGCCCAGATAAGCTATTACCAGCAGGAGAGTGGGGTGGGAGGAGGTATTGTTTCATGGTCTCTGTGTATATAATGTCTTCTGCAGTTTCCGCAGTATGCATCCAATGAAGTGAGCTGCAGCTCACGAAAGCTTATGCTCAAATAAATTTGTTTGTCTCTAAGGTGCCACAAGTACTCCTTTTCTTTTTGCGAATACAGACTAACACGGCTGTTACTCTGAAACCTGTTCTTGCACTGAGTCATCAAGTCGTAAGCCAGCTCCGTCTCCCACTCAGATAGCAAGACAAGAGTGGGGGGACAATTCACTCCTTTGATAACAGGCTAGAAAGGGATGAAATTCACAGTCCAGTTTGGGGACCTTGTTCTCAATGATAAAGCTGGAAACGATTAGCTTAGTGCTAAATTAAATGATTTCCCCTACTCCTCCCCCCAAAAAGCTATCATCCTGAATTTGGTAGGATTGATTTGTCAATAAAATGTCATTAAAAAATCAAATGCCTGCAAAATGACATCAGTGTAACTGTTTCTGCATGATTATTCTTAAGGGATATCAACATGGTAATATTTTATATTTATTTTCATCTCTCTAGCTCATTTATCAGAACCGTGTCATATTGTATTGATAGTCAACACAAAAAGTTCTGATCTGCACAGTAAATGCCATAAGGTGGCAGTTGTAACCTACAGCAGCTAAAGGAATGCAAAGTAAAACCACTTTTACTTAATATTTCACTTTACCCTTCATAAAGTCTTTCCTAATAAAGCATCTGCTGGCCTACTTACCACCTTACAGTATAAATAGGTCATTTTCTGAAGGCCGATCTTACTCATGCCAGCAATTACTGTCCTAAAAGCTAGCCCTGAAAAGGTACTCAGGCTCCATTCCCTGTATTATTTGCACTTATATAGCACCACTTCTTATAACTAATTTGTAAGCGCTTCAGGGTAGGGAATGTCACTTTGTAAAATGCCATATAAATGTTAGTGCTATATAAGCACTTTTAGGCAGAATGCCACTATGCAGTAGCTCAATAATATTGTCTACAGCCAAGCTCTACAATACAACCGCATTTGCTCCAACCCCTCAGACAGAAACAAACACCTACAAGATCTCTATCAGGCATTCTTACAACTACAATACCCACCTGCTGAAGTGAAGAAACAGATTGACAGAGCCAGAAGAGTACCCAGAAGTTACCTACTACAGGACAGGCCCAACAAAGAAAATAACAGAACGCCACTAGACATCACCTTCAGCCCCCAACTAAAACCTCTCCAACGCATCTTCAAGGATCTACAACCTATCTTGAAGGACAACCCATCACTCTCACAGATCTTGGGAGACAGGCCAGTCCCTGCTTACAGACAGCCCCCCAACCTGAAGCAAATACTCACCAGCAACCACACACCACACAATAGAACCACTAACCCAGGAACCTATCCTTGCAACAAAGCCCGTTGCCAACTGTGTCCACATATCTATTCAGGGCACACCATCATAGGGCCTAAATCACATCAGACACACTATCAGAGGCTCGTTCACCTGCACATCTACCAATGTGATATATGCCATCATGTGCCAGCAATGCCTCTCTGCCATGTACATTGGCCAAACCGGACAGTCTCTATGTAAAAGAATAAATGGACACAAATCAGACATCAAGAATTATAACATTCAAAAACCAGTCGGAGAACACTTCAATCTCTCTGGTCACTCGATTACAGACCTAAAAGTGGCAATTCTTCAACAAAAAAACTTCAAAACCAGACTCCAACAAGAGACTGCTGAATTGGAATTCATTTGCAAACTGGACACAATTAACTTAGGCTTGAATAAAGACTGGGAGTGGATGTGTCATTACACAAAGTAAAACTATTTCCCCATGTTTATTCCCCCTGCCCTCACTGTTCCTCACATGTTCTTGTCAACTGCTGGAAATGGCCTATCTTGATTATCACTACAAAAGGTCTTTTTTCTCTCCTGCTGGTAATAGCTCACCTTACCTGATCACTCTCGTTACAGTGTGTATGGTAACACCCATTGTTTAATTTTCTCTGTGTATATAGATCTTCCCACTATATTTTTCACTGAATGCATCCAGTGAAGTGAGCTCTAGCTCACAAAAGCTTATGCTCAAAAAATTTGTTAGTCTCTAAGGTGCCACAAGTCCTCCTTTTCTTTTTGCGGATACAGACTAACATGACTGCTACTCTGAAACCTGTCAATAATCTTAGTTTTGCATAATTAATTGCATTAACATCAAAGACACACTGAAAGCACTTGGCTAGAAATGATAGAGGTAAAATATTATTTGGGGGTATTTCAGCATGAAGACTCCAGTGAAGTGTTACCATAACTGGTGGAGGGTAGCAGCCAGTAACACAGGATCGGCTCATCCTACCCAGATCCACACACAGAAGGTAACTGCCACAATCAGATCCCTCCCCATGTGCACTTAAGCGTGTGGTGGGGTAGCCACCTCTGCAGCCCTCTTTGTTCATTGGATTCCCCCAGAAAGGCTGAGGAGGCAAGATAAATCATCAAGGGGGCAGGTGGTGATGGTTGTAGAGAACATCACTTTGTGCGAAACACGGATTATTCCTTCCCTCCCCCACATTAACCAGGGCATAAGACAACCCAAAAGGAAACAGCTTTAGCCCCAGTGTCTCTAAAGGGCCCCAGGCAGACGGTTTGGGCAGGGATAGGAAAGCCTCCCCCCAGGGCAAAGAGAGAAAAGGAGGCAACCCAGTGGCACAGACCTCCCTGCCTGTAGGGGGCTCCTGCCCCCCAGCCGAGGGAGAAACGAAGCTTGGGAGAGGGGAGCTGAGGGTGGAAGTCGACGGGGGTCCGGAGAGGGGCCCCATGTGGGGCAACAGGCCCAGGAGAACCAGCCCCCAGCGGAAACTCCCTCCACGAGCTACAGGAAGCAGGGGCCGAGGGGACCCACTTCCCGCTCCGCGCGAGGGCTAACCCAGATCCGGCCGGCAGCCGCCATTTTACACACCCCTATGTGACCAACCTCCCCCGGCTGAAACTACAGAACGTCCCGCGCAGTCTCCCCCGCCCCCCCGCACGTATGCAAATTAGCCCCTGGTGGCGGGGGTGCCCGGATGTTGGCTGCTCCGCCCTGTGCTGCCGCTCTTCGCTCGCTCTTCTTCCCTCCCTCTCGGTGAGGTTGCGGGTCAGCGCGAGCCACTGCAGCGAAACCGTCAGCGGCAGCGCGGCGGGACTGAGCGGGCGCGGGCGGCTACTGAGACCGGCACTCGGCGGATCCAGCTGCGGGGAGGCTCCCAACACCCACCCGCCACCATGGTGAGCAGCCCCCGCTTCCCCTCCCTCCCCCGCCCGCCGAGCCCCCTGCACCGGGCCCGGCAGAAAATTCCAGACCCAGCCTGGTCCTGCGGGTCTGGGGCAGAGATCGGGAGGGAGCGGGGACGGCAACGGCCCTTAGGAGCCGCCCCCGTCCTGCTTCCCGCGGGACCGGGCCCTCCCCTCCGCCATGCCCGGGCCGCCTCTAGATGTCCTCGTCCCCTCCCCACCCCCGTGTCCCGGCCGCAACCCCAGCTACCTCCGTGCCTGGGTCGCCTCCAGATACCCCGGTCCCCTCCCCTGGGCCGCCTCCAGCTGACCTCCCGCCCCCCGCCAGCCTCCAGTTACCCGTGTCCCCGTCCCCGCCTCGCCGAGGCCAGCTCCAGATACCCCCTGTCTCGTCCGCCTCCGGATTGTCCCGCCCTCCAGGCCCGCGCCGCCTCCGGGTACCCCCGCTGCGCCCCCCAGGCCGCTTCCAGATATCTCCTGCCTCCTCCCACATGACCCCCTACAGTCTTTTCCTGCCACCCTGTCAGTAACAGCCCATCCCCCCGTCCTCATACCCCGTCACCCCCCTCACCTACCCTTCCCCTCGTTATCGTGTATCCCCACGCCACTGCTCCTCTGCCTTTATACCCTCCCCTGCCCCCAACCTCAGCGTCCCCGAGCCCCCTCCCATCTCTGAAACAGGATTGAATCCTAGGCTGCTCTTCATCTGTTTCCCAGATGTAGTCCTGCGTTTCTCTGCCATTGCTCAGTGGTGCTGTTCCGTGGTGGTTATTTTGCAGTCTTGCAGGGTTTTTTTTTTTTTTTTTTTTTTGCGCTTTGGTGCAGCAGCGTTTGCTTCTCATGTGCAGACCCGGAAGGCTACAATGTACGTCGCCCATGGCAGACTTTATTGCTCAGAGTTTGTAAATCTTACAGTAACTGTGATCTGTATGTAGATTTTTGGATGTTGTAAGAAGGTTTGCAGTATATCACGGTGTGCATGAAGGGGTTGTCTTTTTAAAATCATAGCGATTTAAATTTCCCTTTTACTGCCGTAAAATTAATCCAGACATATGGTATTCTATGCTGTAGTATTTTACGTCGACACTAGGGGTATCTCCTGCTTACCACTGGTGCCAAGAAATCAACGCCCTTTTTAATAAACATTTATTTTATCCTAAATTATCCGATACCCCTGGCTGCAGGGTGACTTCTGTCAAAGTTTCAGTTTTGGAATTGGGAAATGTATACAATTGGAGCTATTCATTCCCAGCTCTTCTTCCCTTATGTGCAAAACCAGCTGTTTATCACCATTACATGTTAAGTCTAGCAGTGCGTGTGAACCAAAAATGGATTTCCTTTTGTTTTTATTTTTAAAAACACAATTGCCAACTTTCCTTTTTACTGTGCAGCAAAGCTATGGTAAAATATTATGCTGCATGTTTCGACTGATCTTGTAATTGTGCCTTTACTTTCTGTTAGAAATATTTTGTTAGGGAAACATTTTAGAGGCTTGCTTTGTTTTGAATTGTGGTTCTGGAAAGCTACTGCCAAACATTTGAAATACATAGAAAACACTAAGGCTATCAAATCCCTTCCCTGTTCTGAAAAAGTGGTAATAAAATCAGGACTTAAAAACAAAACAAACCTTTACTATTTGAAGCCATGTTACCACTGCAGTGCTTCCAGTTGTTGTATGTACATCTAATAACTGAACGATATGTAGCTTTCATTACATTATAATTACATTAATGCAGTCATTAGCCAAGGTTATATGAGAAGAATTTCTTGAAGGTTTCTCTGATGCTTATTAATGTGCACAAATTACAAGAAAGAGTTCCTGAACGGTGAGATGTATTTTTGTGTGTCTGTGAAAGGTCTTTATACTCACCCTAATTTTTCACTGCCTTGTGAGAAACTTTTGCCAGCATAGTCATATTGGGTGAAGGTGTCTTTTTTACAACATTTCTATACCAGCAAAAACCTTAGTGTATACACAGCTATGCTGTTAAAAATACTTTTGTTGGTATAGTTTATTTTGCTGGGGGAACTAATATAATACGCTGTACTGGGCAAAAGCATTTTTATTTATTTATTTATTTATTTATTGCCAGGAAAAGCTGCGTCTACACTAGCAGTCTCTGAAAACCTTTTCTGATGTAGACCTGACCTTTAAGTCTGAAATTTGGATAAAATTTAAGAATAGATTAATTTGAGAAATTAAGATCAGCATAATTTAAGCTGCCTTTCATTTTTAGGAAAAATTGAATATACTTTGTGGTAATTTGGATGCTTTCACTGCAAGAGACCAGTCTCAATGTGTATAAACTAAGATCAAATCTTATTTTTCAGTTCTAACTTTTACTGTTTTGTTTTGTAATAGGATGATGGTTTTCGGAGTTTGAAGTAACATTTCTCTTGTGTTCCTGCAGGACCAAAGTACTGGCAGTTATAGTAAACGAGCTGAGGTGAATGTATTGTAGTGTGCATGATAGGTAGATTTATTCTAAGATTTCATAGATAGTAAGGCCAGAAGGGACTGAGGTGATCATTTAGTCTGATCTCCTGCATAACACAGGCCATTGGATTTCTGTGAATTAATTCACATTTGAACTAGACTATATTTTTAGGGGGAAAAAATCCAGTTGTGATTTGAGATGTATTCTGAATATAAACATTAGTGAGAGTGAAAATAGAACCACAATTCTGAGGTACATTGAACTTGTTAGTATAGCAGCTTATTTAAATATTTTTCTAATGGGCACCTAAATACTAAGGTGATGGGTGCATTACAGATTACTTGAAGCAGTGTACACACTTTATTTATCAGAGTTTGATCTAGACAATATGGTCTAAGGGAAAAATTACTTTAATCAGAGGGAAACTTACTGGGGAGTTCTATAAAAGTAAACTATGTTGGTTTTGGGCAAACATGTTGTTGGGACAAATTATTTTTGATAGCTTCTTTCCCACTGGGACATGGTTTTTCTAGCTAGTTTTGAACTTTATACCTGGAGAAAAGGAAATATAAGAATTCAGCAAGAAGTCTTTTAACTGGACATAACATAATATATATGTGCTTTTAGTGGGGGGGGGAAAAAATTCAGGGCATTGCAGCAGATTATTAATTTAACTCTTGCTTTCTGTAAAATCTGGACCTCATGATTGTCTACTCGGAGATTATGCCTACCTTTACTCTGGAGGTGGTGTGTCTACTATAGACCATCGCTTGAATATGCTGGCTAGCAATAGAAGAGAATCAATCGGGAGGGGGGTCCTAGAGTACATACAGTGAAAAATGGTAAGTTTAAGGTTATTTTGCTTAATAACTTAGACTTGTGTGAAGGCATTTGCACTTTTTATCAAAGGATTCTTATTTTGAAGATTACATTTAAAGGGCATATTGTCTCAGTTTTGTGACTAGAAATTAAATTTTGCAAAGGAAAGAAAATGAGGATTATGCTCTTTACATCATGATGTCCAAAGAAGGTATGAAGACTTGACATTAAAAGAAAAAAAGTCACCTTTTTTTTTTATATTAGAAATATGGGTCCTGTCTAGGCTGGAACATTTTAATGACTGTAGAGCTAACAAAATGGTATCATCACAAAACCGAGGAGAGTAAAAGCTGAGCAATTGCGGGAGAGGGATTTTAAGTCAGTGTTTGAACCTGTTAACTTTTAACACTTATTTAACTTCGATGGCTGATAAAACATTTTTAAGTCTGTGATTTAAAACCCTCCTTCAGTTAAGGTGTTAGCAGGTACAGTAAACATCCATAAGTTCTGCAGCAAAATCAGGGGAGGACAGACTTGACACTCCAGATATTTCTAAGGCTCAACGGGGAGCTATTCAAATCAGGGAAGCTTTAAAGGAGTATTTTGACAATGAACCACAGTAATGTATGTTTCTGTAATGCACTGAGCCAGGCATTGTTTTCTTGCACTGTGGTATGAACCTTCTCATGATCGCTGTGTGTGCAGTAACAATGCAAATGCACCTATTTGGCATTGTCAACTTAAGTTACATCAACGTTCATCCACCACTATAATTAAACTGCAGTTGCATGTCCACACAATGCTCCTTGTGACGGTGGAGCGTGTCCACAGTAGTTACTCTTGCATTGACAGAGAGCAGTGTGCCGTGGGTAGCTATCCCACTGTGCAACTTGCAACCATCTTCCACTGGATGTTCTGGGAAAGGGTTTGCAGTGTCTCACGGGGGCGGGCTGAGCGTCCCATGATGCAGTTTTCTCCCTCCCATGAATCCACGGGTTTCCTAGTACATTTCATGCCACTTGTCAACAGATCCTGTAAACACATGCCTGCCATCTGTCAGAAAGCATGGATCCTGCAGTGCTCTCCAGTATTTTGGTGAGCGTTATGAACGCAACACAGTGGTGACTCTGATCATGACACCATGGTATCTGCCCTGTTGTGTGTGCCATGGACAGAAACAATTCAAGATTGCCGTTGGCTTCATGGAGGAGCTGCACATAGTGGACTGTTTGTTCCGGGCCCAAGAAACAAGCATCGAGTGATAAGATCGCATTGTTATGCAGAACTTTTGGATGCGTAAATCCACCTTCCTGGAAGCGTGTGTGGTGCTCATCCCTGCTCCCTATCACAAGGACACCAAAATGAGAGCTGCCCTAATGGTGGAGAAGCGATTGGCAATTGCAGTGTGGAAGCTGATCATTTGTGAATCAGTTTAGAGTGGGGAAGCCCACCATGGGGGTTGCAGTGATGCAAGTGTGCATGGCCATTAATCACCTCCTGCTGTGAAGGATTGACACTCTGGGCAATGTGCGTGAAATAGTGGATGGGTTTGAGGCAATGGGTTTCACTTACTGCGGAGGGGCAGTGGTGATATGCGTGCTATCTTGCGATGGAGTACATCAACAGAAAGGGCTACTTTTCTATGGTATTGCAAGTGCTGGTATATCACTGGGGTTGTTCAATTGATATCAACACGTGCTGGTCAGGGAAGGTGCATAACAAGTGCATCTTCAGGAACACTGGACTGTACAGAAAGTTGCAGGCAGGGACTTTCTTTCCAGACCAGAAGATTTCCATTGGAGATGTTGAAATGCCAGTAGTGATTCTGGGAGATTCAGCCTATGCCTTGCTCCCATGGCTCAGGAAGTCTTACATCAGCAACTTTGACTGCAGCAGTGAGTGCTTCAACAACAGGCTCAGCAGGTACAGAATGACTGTTGAATGTCTTTGGCCGCTTAAAAGGTTGCTGGTGCTGCCTCTTTGTCAGGTTAGACCTCAGTAAGGAAAATATTCCCATGGTCATAGCAGCCTACATTGTGAAGCTAAGGAGGAGAAGTTTCTGTAGGGGTGGAGTGTTGAGGTGGATCAGCTGGCTTTTGAGCATCCGATACCAGGGCTATTATAGGGGCTCAATGTGGCTTTGGTTGAATCAGGGAGGCTTTGAAGGAGTATTTTGATAATGAGCCACAGTTATGTATGTTTCTGTAATGCATTGAGCCAGGCATTGTATTCTTGCACTGTAGTATGAACCTTGTAATGATTGCTATGCATGCAAGAATGCAACAAAGCAAATGCACCTTTTGGCACTGTCTTAGAATTTTAGCAGCAACCACCGTATGTAAGAGACAAATAAAGATTCATTTACTTTCTATAAGTACATTTTTATTCAACAGTCATGCAAACATTTCTATCTTCTGGAAGGAACATGAAAATTGATCACATTTGCCAATGAGGCTCTCA